TTCTGAGGGGGGAGAGAGAGAGAGCGCCAAAGTCGGCGGGGGGTTTGCGAAGCTGGCTCTCTCCCCTTGCAGGTCCAGCCTGCAGTCTCCCTGCCCAGGCTGGAGTTGCGAGGGGGGAGAGAGAGACATATTTGTTGAGATGGAATTCTTGTCATATTCTGTTATGGCATCAAGGCAGGGGTCTCCGAACTTTTCTGTGTGAGGGCCACATCGTATATACACCACATTTTTGAGGGTTGAAGGAACATGCACATGCCCATACATCCGCCCGCCCTGCCTGAGCCTGTGACATTTGCCAGACCAGACAAAAAGGCGGGCCAGATGTGGCTCACAGGCCATAGTTCGGAGACCCCTGTTCTAAGGAGTCAGAAAATCTGCATCTTCCAATACCTCTTTCTCTGTCTCCATCGGTTGAAGATAAAAAATGTTGGTTATGATCTAAATATGAGTTAAAGAAACATCCACAATAACCACATTTTAAAAATCTATTCATTTGTTAAAATCAATCATTTCCATTATTAACACATTTGTTTTCATTACTCCTATTCATTTTCATTTCCCATCATTGTTCTGTTTCCTGTAACCTCTATATTTCTTCATTCAGACTCACACGTAAGAAAATGCCCCAAATCATTGTGACATAATCTGACTAACTGGAAATACGACTAAAAACAGTAAGCTTGAGAGATGTAGACCAGCTGGGTTGGGAATGAGACTTTAGCAGCACTGTCAGCAACCTAGAGAAACAAGGCAATATAGCAGATTTTGGGAGAAGAGGAAGGCTTCGGGAACTTTGAGGCCAACTGTGAGAAGGGAATCCACTTCACCTCAAAGGACAGGGCAGAATATTCCAGAATTGTTTTTATTTAATTATTTCTGTTTTTATTTCTGAAACCTATATATGCCTGACTTACTGAAAGGTCACTACTCTGGATGACTTACACAAGAAACATAAAAATACTCTCACCTCATAACACATGAAATAAAAATGCAACCAAATAAAAATCGGCTGTTATTAGGAGTTACAAGGTTCTCCCACTTCCTCCTTCCATGTGTCCTGCTCCTCCTCCGCATCATGCAGATCCTCTCTGCTGGCTCATCCTTCAAAAAGAAGATGGCACTGGCCTTAAGTGCCATGCTTCCTTTCAACATGTGACAACCAGCATGCTTTGTTCTGTGGTGAGTTACACTTGTATGTCCATCAGATGCTGCAGTTTGTTACATGAAGCCTACTAGAAGTGTCATCCTTACCTGCTGGCTACAGTACTACTGCACAGGGCTGGTAGGAGTGATATATTTTAAATGCAAAAGCTTATTCCCTGGCCAGCCACTATGAAAATCTGACAGGGGAGCTCACTTTAAACTATAGCTGCCACTACCTTCCCCTCCTTTATTCATCTAAGAGGAACAGAGCTACACTTAATAATAGACTGGAGGAACTCTGTTGTGGTGTCTGTTCCTTTCCCTGGAGTTGAGAAGTAAAATAAACAAAAGAGAAATTCATAAGGACTCCAAGCCTAATGGTTTCACCTCTCCCTCAGCAGTAAACTCCTTTTCACGCTGAAGTTAATCAGTGTCCATGATCTTCCTAACCAGTAAGAACAGGAAAGTCACAGGTAGTTTTATGTGCCATGCCAAATCCCTAGTGTATATCTTACTACTGAACAAAGAATTTGAATGACAAAGCAGATGCTCACAAAGCTACCATACTTCATCACCTATTTCACATTGCTACCATGACAATGGAGCTCCCTGTGAAAAAACTAACAACTTTTCAACTACATTACTGAAATTCTCATTACATGAACACAGGCCTGTATCTTGTCAAGAATAGGGGCATGGAGCAGCTTCTGTAGATCTGCCAGTCCCCTATTCTAGTGCCCTGCTCTAGGCAGGTACACTATGCTGTCTGGTCACTGTAGACACCAGTGACAAAGTACACAGTATGTCTCTGTTCTCTGTCACCCTGGGCCTGCACCTTATCTCTATCTGTCTGGCACCTAGATGGCACATTCTACTTCATTTAGTACTTGCTGGAATCTTAAATGCTAGGAAGAACGCTTGCACCAGGCCTCCTCCCTGTTTCTACAACACTGTTTTGAATGCATGCCTGGTCAAAGGCAGACAAAAAGTCTGTAATATCTTCTTTAATCTGAATTTATAGTCTTCACAATCTTCTAAAATGAATATTCAGTGGAAGAAGTGGAGCTTCTTGAATTGTCCAGATGAAGGTCCTCCAAGGAAGCCAGTTGTGAGGCATAATGAAAGGCCAGGTCTCAGTCCTCTTAGTCACTAGTGCTGATTCTAAAAAAGTATACAATAAAACTGAGTCAAATCTATTACAGTCACATCTATTTGAAATATGGAAATAGTCTTTAAGAAATATTTACTTTATTCATGCAGAAAGTAATGAACCTGAGCTACTATAAATCTTGTCACAGGACATAACAGTTCTAAAAGCTAGTATTCATGTGTGTCTCATCTACAAATTCTAGCCTACTGATCTATATTTTTTTAAAAAAACAAGTCATTAAAAATTAAATGGCTCCATACTAACAGCTGGTTCACACAACAATTTGAGACCACAACAACCAGTTAAAGAGACAAGCCAATGCCATGTTCTAGCAGCTTTACCATGTAAGGTCAGTTGTAGATGTGTAGTGAAAACTGAATTCAAATTCAAACAGTGATATAATGAACACAATCCCCTGAAGTTTTATATAATTAACCTTGGCATGGCTTAAGTTGCCAAGATCAGCACTACCAAGCATCTTTCTCCTTTGGGTGCTGTATATGAAATAGCTGTTGTAAGTGAACAAGCCCTTCTATACAAAACCTTTACTGGTTTTCATCTCCTCTACACATTCAGTATAATACCATATGCAGTGATTTCTATAGGAGTAGTTTTCCACTGTGTCTTGAAATTTAGCAGTGCTATGCATAATCAACGCCACACACAGCTGCCTTAGGTCCTTTTTAAGGAGAAAGGCAGGATAAAAATATTTTTGTAAGCTAAATTAATTAATTGAACTGCAATGTTTTCCAAAGATTCCACATTCTGTGAATAGTTAAGAACTGCGGTAATGGAATGAAACTTGAGAAAGTTAAGTTATAGGAAATAAAAAAATATGTAGCTATTGGATGAAAGCAAACTACTGATTTTGGAAGCTCCATTTCTTTGCTTTCCCCACCAGCTTTTCCCTAAAGATGTATACATGTAATCAAGCTTACACCTCTGCCATGAAATGTAAAAAGTTTAGTTTATAATGGCAGTTGGTGACATAAAGTTTTACATTGGATTTGCACTAGCATAAAGTATTTATTCTCACGCAAGGTGGGATATCCCATTTTATCAATGCCCACATCTACCACTGGGCTCTAGCCCATTTATCATGCTATTCCAGAGGGCTGCCAATTGTGAACACCAGTTTTTCAGGAACCACCAGTGGCTTCAATGGAGGGGGGAGTGAAGAAGGTGCAAACTGGATCACCATGACTTGTATGAAATAGGCATACAACTCACAATGTGGACATAATGTTCTTCACTCCAGCTCAGTTAATCCTATACTTTCAGTATTTCAGACCTCTCTCCAGGAATATTCACCTTTTTCATTAATTCATCACGGGTTGTAAAATGTGGTGCATCTTCAACTTCAATCCCTTCAGCCATTTCTGTTACCTTGTCCATTAGATCTTTGCTGTAGCTAAACAATAAATTAAGAATGAATGGGGCATTCAGTATTCTGCCATATTAACATTAGTCCACTTACAGAGTTCTCAGTTCTCACAATATACACATACTTACAAGTAAGGCTTAAACTTTGTTTAGAAAGTTGAAACTGCAAGGTAAGTTAATGGGAAAAAAGAAGAAAATAAAGAAATGTATGGGGACAACTGGTTTGTTCTAGACCTGTTTAGCTTTTTAAGTTTCTGAGAGCTTATACAGAGAAAAGAACAGCAACACATAATATTCCAAATCTTATATTATTTTAAGATGATGAACCGAAAGTTTCTCACTTTGAAGTTCCAGTAAGGATACAACTTATCCAGGTGAAATCTAACATGGCCGCATTACCTAATGAGTCTTATTCCACTGTCCACATCCCGCCTCTTTCACTCCATTTAAAGGTAAAGGTTCCCCTTGGTATTTTTAGTCCAGACGTGTCCGACTCTAGGGGGCGGTGCTCATCCCGTTTTTCAAGCCGTAGAGCCAGTGCTTGTCCACAGACAGTTCCCGTTGTCAGGGGGCCAGCGTGACTAGGGAACGCCATTTTACCTTCCCACCGAGGTGGTACCTATTTATCTACTCGCATTTGCATGCTTTTGAACTGCTAGGTTAGCGAGGAGCTGGGACAAAGCGACAGGAGCTCACTCCGTCACGTGGATTCGATCTTACGACTGCTGGTCTTCTGACCCTGCAGCACAGGCTTCTGCGATTTAGCCCACAGCGCCACCACGTCCCCTCACCCACTCCATTTAGGTGAACTAAAAAAACACATTCCTTTTCTTCCCCACCTTTGGCTCTTTTCCACCTTCTTATTGTAATATATTACCTGATGTAGAGCCATAATTTCAAAAGATTATTCTATATTTTTCTGCATTTTTGGTTGGCTTAATAAAGGTACTACAACAGTATGGATTCTGTAAACTGTTTTGTACCAACAAGGCAACCCTATATTTTGTGAGGTACACCATTCACATTACTTTTCCACTACTTAATGACACTTGCTATTCTAATAGATTTGAGTCAGAACTTTCCTTTAAGAAAAACAAAAGGCATTGATCTTAAGCAACACAATTTTATTTCAAGAACACAGAGGCAATTAAATTCTAAGTTACGTTAACTGTTTCATGTATACTATATTTTAGAAATCTGTTTATAAGAGCTGTGGGAAGGAGGGGGAAATTTTTCAGCAAAGTAAGCAGCTATCACTTTCCTCATTTGTTGCTTCACCAGGCTGGGACTGGGTTCTTTCCTTTATGGAGGTAATTTGAATGAGCAAAATAATAATAATAATAATAAAAACAACAGTGATTATAAATTATTATTCTATAAATAATATTTATTTATATTATAAATAAATTTATTTGTATTGTGCTCTACACCAGAGCACATTCCAATAGTCAAAAACAGTTAAAATACAACCATAACATAATTAGAATGATAAAAACATATAGCAAATAATTATCATTCAATAAGGCAATCAACAATCAAACAATAAACAAACTCAAGGAAGATAATGCTTCATCACTGCCCTATCTTGAAGTAGTACTTAAGGATATTTTAATATTCCTATTGAATAGACATAAGTCACTTTGAGAGCCTAATCAGTCAGAGAGTGACTAATAACGATTAATATAAATAAATAACCTATTTACTTATTTCAATAATTTTGTATAGACATCACCGAGTTTCCTCACAATGCACGTATAGGCCATTGCCAAGAGAACACCTCCGAAGATGTATACTCAGCACAACTCGTGTCTACACACTTAGCCTTTACAGGCAGAGTTGCATGCCTGGAGATACATGGAAATGAACCCCACAGGACCCAGCAAGACTCCGCTTAGGAGAAAGGCGTATGTACCATCTGGGGTGCGTCATCAGCTGTCCTCCCAAGAATTGTGCCAGGTTCTAGTTCCACCCAGAAAACTCACAAAAAAAACCGTAATTGGCAGACCAGAAAATGTGCATTCGCCAACTCCTGTTCACCACCCTAGAATAGGGGGCCCTGCTCGGCGTGTGCGCACAGCAGTCTGACCGCTGCTCCTCATGGGGTGTCCCTGAACAGGGCGGCCCCTCAACGGCTGGGCTTCGTTGGAAGGGAAAGCACTTCGGGGAAAGGGGCGCAGAGCCTCAGCCTGTACTAACAACAACAACAACACCCCCACTGAACAGTCTTCGGCTATCAGTGCCTTCCAGGTTGCCTAGGAAGGAAAAAAAATAAGTCTCGTGTCCCAGTCACATTATTATCTCTCGAGGTGCGTTTGACTGATGCGTGACGGGCAGAAATCCAACAGATGCAACTGCTTCCAAACCTGTAAAGGCAGGAGAGGGAAGCTTCGCCCTAGTAAACGGCGGGCTGTGGCGGAACCGCTAAAATGACGGAAGGCGGGGGGACGGAGAGGGAAGCGGGCGAGGCGAAGGGGGAGGGGCAGAGGGCCGCGCTACCTGCATCCCAGGAAGAGGTGATTGGCCCACACCATAGAGAGCGAGAGCAGCTGGTCCAGGCGCAGGGGAGAGAGCGCCTCCTCATCCCCCGGCGGGATATTGCGCACAATGAAGGCGCGGCGCGCTTGCCAGTGCTTTTCATTTTCCGAGTAGGAGCGGAACTGCTCCGGGAATTCTGTTTCGGCCACGATCTCGTCGTCCCCTTTCACCATCTCTCTTCCGTACAGCCTGCCAGAAGGACGACAGCAAGGAAAGGGGGGAAGTTACGTTTTCCACAGAGCGGCCGTTAGAGCGGATGTGAAAGAACAACAGCGCCGCTCTGTCCGCCTCTCGACTGCTCCGAGGCTTGCAGTGCGGCGCCTCCCCGCTGGTTTGCTTTGCTAATCAGTAGTGCGCGTGCGTCAAGGGACGCCAGGCGGGGATGGGAGGGGGAGGGACGGCATCTCCGTCTTGATGCTTCGCTGAGATCAGAGAATCGAGAGGACTATCAGTGCTCCCAAATGGCCGGTTTTAGTGTGGTTCCCCCCCCCTCCCACTCTTATTTCCAGAGGAAAATTCCATCTGAAGACGTGAGATGTTACGGATGAAAGCGTGCGCCGCATAAAACTAGTGATCACAAGACGAGTGGATTTTGGGTGTGATTTTCACCGATACAAAATGAAACAACCGTCACTGCTCATCCATATCGTGTTATTGCAAAGATTGCTTATTGTTCTGTTTCCAGCGATTCCATTACAGCGTCTGAAAATTCACGAGGTCTGACAACAACAACAACAGCCTCAGCAACAGACAGCTTTCAGCCCTTGATGAGCTAAGAACAAGACGCTGCCTTGGCAAAGGGAAGATCCTTAAATATTTGTCCACTAAGTGACACATGCACATGGGGAGCGAATTCTGATACAAGCCCCTAAAACTGCCCCCATCCCCTAGCTAAACCTGTGCCTGCTTGCCAGGGATATTGCAGCATGTCAGCATAGCAACCCTCCTTCACTCCATCTCAAAGAAGACGGGGAAGTATTCTATCATCATTTAGATTTACATCAATCCCTCAATCCTTTTGGGAAAGGAAAGTATAAATTTGGGAATCAACTCCATGGAAGACTTATTTGAGAATAAGCCCCAATGAACTCTGGGGAGCTTACTTCTTGGTAAATGTACTTAACTATCAGAACATGCTGATTAGAAATCTTGATACATGATGCTCTTGGTACTAACTAAAAAGGCATGCTTGCTTGGATTCATTGCACACTAAAAACCATCTTTGTTGAATTTATTTTTTCCTCCAGGTGTGCTGTTTTCTTGGGATTAGTCTTCATATCAGACTCAAACAATCCAAATGGTAATTCCAGTAACTTAAAACGTGGGTCTCACATGGGCAGTCAAACCATCCTGGGGAAGGTGACCTGGAAATAAAGAGGAAAAAATGTTTCCACAGTATAGGAATGCAGTATTCCAGTTTACTCCAGCACACTTCAATACTGCAAGATGTATTCATGGTAATCGCTAAGGAGATGTGAAAGACTTACGGGTATCACCATTTCCAATGGTAGCATTTTTTTTTACTAAAAGTACTATGGAAACTTAGAAATATGTTTCAGTTCAATGGGGCTTATTTCACCATAAACAGGCATGGGATTGCAGCCTGGATTGCTTAGACCACGCATGCACAAAACAGGGGTTATACCACAACTCTGTGCTGTGCATGTTGACACACATGTAAGTGTGCATTGGAGAGAGGGTCATTTATCATCTTGTATCCATATTTAAAAGATGTATCCAAAATAGCATAACCCAAGCATAACTTTTAATGATTTTTCACTTTGTCTTAACATATCCCTAGAGAAGCTAACACATGGGCACATGGACATACACCTCTCATTTTAATATTAAAGTGTATCTTAAGTCCCTGAATTACAATAATTCCAAAGTCTTTCCAGGTTTCTTCTCTTGAAGCAATTCTGTTTTGTTCAGGTAAAAATAACTCTTCATCGGTTTCTATGTTCATTCCACCATCCCCTAAATCCCAAGGGCCTAATTTAACAAAAATAGCTGAGAAGAAATGGAGACACTTGGGGCCACTACAAGCGTGTGTCGTGTTCTACGGTGCAATTAACTCAGGAAAACCAATAGATCTTACAGCACATACTAACGCATATACATCAAGGGGCAAATCAAGAGGGAATTAGAGCACTTTCTGATTCTCAGCTGAGCTCCCCTAATGCGCGAGAGTGATTGTCCTTAGGAGGGCCTACCCCAATTACTGGACACTGAAAATATGCTACTCTGCACCACTCTCTCAGCACAACACCATACCCATGTCCCCACTTAAGATGATGATGCTTTACCTATTGAGCCTTTAAATCCTATCTAGGTTGACTCTATAGTGCCCTAGTGCCTTTGTATTCTTCCGTACTGCTTATGACAAGTTGCTTATTCCCATCTCTCTCCGTTCTACTAACTGAGGTTGAAATTGTGTACGTTTATATATGAGTAATTTCTATTGAGCTAAATGGGGTTTCCTTCTGAGTGGTTACCTACAGAATTGCATTGTAAGGATGAAAACTGCATACACTTACAAGAGAACGAGACCCACTGGATGCAGTGAGACTGACTTTTGAATAAACATGCTTACAATTGAGCTGTGTGTTCACGTCAAGCAGCTTGCTTGCACTGACTGTCATTTTTTTTGGATCAGCTGGGGTTGGCCTGCTCTTTCATTGTGAGTGGGTCCAAATGATTGCTTTCCTGTTGCCTGTACTCATTAAAAATAAATCCTTACACAGCATGTAGATGCAAGTTAGCAGTGCCTGGAGATGAATTTTTATGGGATTTGACGGCTGCAGAATGTTCTACAGCATCTTCTTCATTTGGGTGCTGCTTTGCAACCCAGGCACAATAGCACAGGCATTCTTCAGGGGTCTTTGGGAAAGAAGCAGCGAAAGGGATGTCTGTTTCATCTTTAATTGTCATAACATCTAAGCAGTAGGGAGTGAAGATTTTCTAGAATCAGCCTTCATTTAAACACACCAGCTTTATGCATGCATCTTTGCTATTCCTCCCTGCCCAGTCCTTCTTCAAAATTTATGCTTTTCCACCTTCTCTGTTGTGAGGCACTTTCGTTCCTCTGCTGTCTGTCAGATGCAGTATAGGAACAGGGAAGGGCATCTTCTTTTTGAATGATGAAGCTTTAAGTCAGGCCAAATTTTTAGCCCTGTCTGGGATACAGTTACCTTTAGAACAACAGAATCTCCATCTTACTGATATCATTTACTACAACTTACAATGGGACTGAAATTGTATTCATGCTCATTTAACTCAGTAGGACTTTCTTCTGAGTATATATGCCTAAGAAAGAGACGCATATAGTTTTGCAAAAGGCAACACTTTCCATGGCAAAAATATTGTAAGAAGACAAAATAGGTAGTTGCTAGATACTGCACCTATCATTCCTATGCTTCTTTTTTGACTCACACTTCTGTGTTCCTCCCTCATCAATATCACATATTCCTTATTCTGTTGGAAATTTACCAGTCTTCATGCCTCCATCTATAAGCTTATCATAAATTATCTATCTAGTTCATCAAGCACAAGTTACAGCAGCTTGCTTCCAAATATTGTTCTTGGGTGCTTTGGTGGCCCAATCTTCCCCAAGAAGCATCTACAGATATTCTCATCCACCTACAGATATTCTCATTCCACCTAGCATACCTGGGATGGTTCCAGCATGAAGAACTTTCTGTTCCAGGGAAAGATCTTAGCCAACAAATTCACCCATCTGGATGTAAAAGCTAGAGCCACAGTTGGGTAATATCTTTATTAAGATCCACCCAAAATGCAACAAATCTTCTGAGCTCCCCAGGAGCCTTCATCAGAGTGGTTTAAAAACAAAAAAAGAACCAGAAAACTTCTAAAATGAAGCCAGATGTTATGGCCATGAGGTCTGCAGCTGTACTCAGTATGGAAATAGAGATGGCAGATTCAATGAATCACTGGTAGATGTACAGGTTTCTGGTTACACATACCACAGCATTTCTGAAGACCAAATCCAACTGAAATTCAGGGATCTGCCCATTGTCTTAGGCAAAACGTACAAGTTTTTCAGTTGACAGAGAAGTGCAAAGTTAAATGGCAGCCTTATAACAGCAAAACCAGAGATTTCTTTTAGGTAGTATATTAGATACAAACATTGAAATGAAGTTAAATTGTGTTACCTAGTTAGTGTAAAGAGTGTAACTGTCTGTGAATTGCAGTCAGTATTTCAAGGCAGAAAATCCGTCACCACCACAAATGGTTAACTAGTATTTTCCATAGAAAACAGAAAGAAAAGATAGCTGAGTTGAGCTACTGGGCAAATTGTGCCCCTCCAAAAATGTTGCTAGATTCCAGCTCTCAGAATGCATTACCACTGGATATGCTGGCAAGGATTTATAGGAATTACAGTGCAACAACATCTGGAGAGTCACATCTTGCCTGCCCCTGTGTTGTGATATATTCTCTCCAGACTTTTTTTTTTGTACCACTCAACCAAATGGAGAGTTTTGGGGAACTCAAAGCTCACATGTTTTGTTGCATTTTGCTTCATTCTAACTCCTTGCCAATATGCCAGAATTTAACTTGGAGCCCACCCACACATCCTATTTGCCCCTATTTAAGAGGGGGTTCAGTTGCTCATAAATTGTGTAACAGATTCATATAATGTTACTGGAATCATGAATCAATCTCTTTTATTTCCTTTCAGGATTACCTTCCTTTACTTGGGACTGGTGGTTCCTTTGTTTTTGTTTTTTATTATTATGTTATCGCACCCAAGTCCTTCCAGATCTATTGTTCCTATCCATTCCTTTATTTCAAAGAAACATGGTTCCTATGGGAACATGTACTACCCTAGAACTGCCCTACCCTAACATCAGCTGCCATGCCAGCTATAGGTGTTTTCTCCTCAGCAAACAACAGAGTTGTGTCTGCCTGCCTCTCTAAAGAAGAGGATTGCTCGGGGTTGTAATGACTGGAAGGAAAATGCATGGGGCAAGAATATGTATTGAATTTTCAGAAGGTGTTTGATGTGGTCCCTCACCAAAGCCTGCTGAGAAAACTCCACAGTCAGGAGATAAGAGGGCAGGTCCTCTTATGGTTGAGAACCAGGAAACAGAGAGTAGGTGTCAATGGGCAGTTTTCACAATGGAGAGAGGTGAAAAGCGGTATGCCCCAGGGATCTGTCTTGGCACTGTTGCTTTTCAATTTTTTCATAAATGACCTGGAGACTGGGATAAGCAGTGAGGTGGCCAAGTTTGCAGATAACACAAAACTTTTCCAGGTGGTGAAGACTAGAAGGGATTGTGAAGAGCTCCAGAAGGATCTCTCCAAACT